AAGCTCAGACTCTGGCACAGGATCGGGAACGTTGGAAGCACTGTCTGACGTGTCTGCCTCCGCGACCCGAGCGGAAAAACGGCAATGGAAGATTAAGATGATGATGATGCGAGCAAATACTAGATAACAAACAACTGCTAAATCTAACCCTCGAACCTGCCATGACTCAGGACACTGAATGTTGATCTGCTCCTAAAGCTGAGGAGTACAAACTGAACAAATTGATTGCCATGGAGAAACGCCACCAGCAAAAAATGTACAAGGTCTCCAATTCAGATCACGCGTGTTTTAAGAGCATAAACTAGACACGATGGACTGGATTAACCAGACTCGATTTCTGCTTTCTATGACTCCGGGAGAAGATAGACTGGAAATGAGGCTCGCCTGAAAAATAACCGTTTGACGTCAAGAATTAAAAATTGGGTTCTTTTTGGCTACCAACCTCCATCCGGTCATCCAAGAACATGGCGGAAACATCCTATGGTGGCCAGTGGTGGAAGAAGAAAGCAGAGAACAAAGTATTGGAGAGAGGTCGACTTTCATGAGACACTCATAGCCAGGATTCATTGTTCAGTTTATAATAAACTGTAATCATCATAGCATAGGATGTTTCAAAACTCGACAAGTCTCGAGATTACACCGCATATTAAATTTATTATATACAAGTTCTCCAACGTTTCATACAATGTTTGATCTCTCTTAAAGAACGACATACTATAGATACGATCGTATCGGCCATCATAAATCTAGGTTGACGCTGGATAGAGGATGACACTGCCAATCTTGATGCCGCTACAACTGGTGTTATACTTATTTTGTATCTATTTAATTTTTCAACTTATCATGATGAAACTGCGTTATCCAGTCAGATTGCATAACTTTGGAGTTAGCCAGACTTATTTTTAGTGCTAGATTGATGATACACTATTTATATGAAATTCCACACGGTAGAAATTTGTCGCTGCGTAATAAATAAACATATACTTCCTATTTTTGCGAAACTGGTACTAAAGTAATGAAATACATGATGAAACACACAGACTTGCAATATTAAATACCGTAATAATATCAATTTATTCTTTGCCTAAATCGCTAGTTTGAGAAAGATGTAATTCATGAAGTTTGTTGATTGCTCGTCTGCTACATTAGAGTAACTTAGAAGGTAACATCTAAACATATAAAAACACAACAAGTAAAAATGCAAAAAAACCGTTTGGTTTTTGGTTAAAATCTGAATCGTCATGTTCTTGACTTTTAATACTCCAATCATGATATACATGGTCTCTAGAGGAAGGGCGTTTATCATCCACTATGACTCCGTATGCA